ATCCCTCCCGTGCCTCCCCCGGCACGGGGGGCTGCCCGGAGGGGAGCGGGCGTCGCGTCGCTGTGCGCGCAGAGCGGTTTCTCCGTCAGGTGTTCAACTTCTGGGGGCGTCCCAAGTGCCGCGGGTGGGGACGGACAAAACTCCCTTCCGCAATAATCCTTTCCCAGCTTGTTTAAGGCTCTCTTGCAAAACTGTTACGAAACAGGGCGTGTTACCTCGTCACGTTTCGTGGTAACGCTGCTGCCGATAAATTGAAAAAATGCCAGCCCGTAACACAAAACCGAGTGTAGGAAGTTTTGTTCGTCGACACTTATTTGGCCGTGGTTTGTTTATCGGTATTTCAAAAACACTGCTTTCTCTCTTGAAGCACAGAGAATTTCCCGTCAGAGGTCTAAAAATATTTTTGTTTGTGGGCTTTTATATTCATGTCTTCATTCACGTCTCGCAGCTTCCTTAAGTATTCCCTGGTAGTTGCAGAGCAGTGGTTCCTTTCGCCAGCAGAGTTGGCAGCTTCTAGCGGATAATTTGAACTGTTAGTGTTGCTTCTTGATGGGAAATGAGACAAAGTTTGTGCTACAGTCCGCTGCTCCGTTTTCTAATGTAGCTGCCCGGGAGTTGCTGCTGTCAACACTACTACGAGGTCAGAATGGCAGCGCTCTAAGCTTAAATTGTCACACCGCTCTCTCTCTTTCCTTAGTAAATAAATCAAGGATGCATTTCAAAAGAAGGCTGAGGCGATGAGAAATAGAGTAAGATTGAATTTAGAATACTGAAAACAGTCACTAGGCTGACGTATGAACACCCTGATGTACTTACTGCCTGTTTCTGCAAAGTTCGTTGGCAATAACCACAGGAAACCCGGGTCCCATGAAGGGCGTGTTGCTGTGTGTAAAAGCAGTCCGGGACCTCTAGTATTACTTTTGGGTTCTTCAAATAACTGGTCACAGTTACAAATGCCAGGACGTTTATGCTGCATTTGACCCAGTTCACTTATATGGGAGTTTCTTTCATTCCAGGTGTTGTTTCTATATACCTGCAATGTTTTCTTCAAACCTTAGTTTTATAGTGATTTAAGTGTCCATCAAATAGTTATGAAGAAATGCAGGTATATGACATGATCAGTCAATTCTGACCTTAGTTACCTTACTTGTAACTAATTTCAATATATAGTTTACAATGTTAATTTCTGTGTACGTATCTTCAAAAGCCATGTCTGTTTTGTTAGAACTGCTTTTTTTTTCCTTGTTTAAAAAAATGGTCTCCCATCCTGATGTGTCTCGATGTCAAGTAGGGAAGGATGGGAATTTCCATGGTGATTCCTTTCTTCTTTATTTGCTGGAATGACAGCTTTTGATTACAAAATGATGCTTCAAAATTGGGTGTAAAGTGAATGACATTGGGGCAGAGATTAATGATTAACACATGCTTGTGATTCATCTATAAACACATTCATTGGGAAAAGCCTCGAAAAGTAATGTTAAATGGAATTGTGAAATACAGCAAGAGCAAACTGCAAAGTTCAGAGAATGCTGAAAGTTCTTTAATAATTAGCAGTTGTGTATTTCTTAACACCTGGAAATAAATACTTTTAAAATAGTTTGGGTCATGACATTAGTTTTCCCTTGATACTTGAAGAGTTGTAGAACCAATTTGGTCACTGGTTTACATCAACAATTATCACCTGATAACTATAATTTCTTCCTAAATTTTTATGGTTTTTTTGCTTGTTTTCATTGTAGGAAATATGGGAACTTCTTCTGGTTTATAGAGGTGGTGTAACTTGGTGGTCAGTGAAGCAGTGCAAGCTGTTCGTGGCACAAAATAAATTTGTAACTCTAGATAATAGTCTTTTGTCTCTCCTTTCTTTCAGTGAGGATACAGCTTCTGTTCATTTAGCTTTTAATTCTGTATGGTTCGACTGTCAGCTCTTCCCAAGTTAATTTTCCCTGCATGCCCGTACTGTCAATGTGACCAAATTAGCCAGGTTCCAGTACTACGCAGATGGCATTGCACTACTTCTTATTCTGCAAGACAGCCTGTTTTAGCTTCAGGGGCACATCGGGTAGCCTTTAGGAGAAGTGCATCTCATAGGATGAGAAATTGTCTATGAAAATTATAAAATCCAGAAATGTTTTGGGTATCAGGTGATGCTCTTTCTGGGGTTTCTTTATGACTAAAAACTTTTCATGTGATTCTCATTGAATGCCAGCATTGGCTGTAGTTTTACAAATGCTAGAAAAGCAAGAAATTAATATAATTCTTTCTAGTTATTTCTACTTAGTGCCTATCAAACAAAAAGTACATGATTCTTTTCTGACTGTTGTAAGATGTAGATTTCCAAGCCTCTGAGTTTTTGGTTTCTTTTAACCAGCAATCTGTATTCTTTGGCTCAAGAGCCAGCTCTAATGTGGCAGAACAACTTAAATGTGTCATCCCAGAGGATCTTCTGGTGTTGGTAATAGTCCACTGTTGTCTGGATCAGTTGTTCTAGCAGCCATCTCCCTCTGCGCCCTGTAGCTCCCTTCATCACATGCCCTGAAAGGCATCCACGGTCTGATGAAAATTTCGCTGTCACCTGCTATGCAATCTTTATTTTTTTGTGGCCTGGCATAACTTTGCATGATTGTCATGTTGTAAAGGATCAGGACCTTGGCCTTCATTTGGTGTGGAAGAGAGAATATCGGCTGCTCTTTATCTTTTACTCTGCTACTGTTTTCCAGCCCAAAGGTTCCTCTTCCTCTAAAGGTATGTCTGCATACTGATCATAGGCCTGTGCCTACACCTGCATCTTCACTTACAGCTGTGTGTGTAAACTTGTGGTCTCATGTGAGCTTGAGGTAAGCTTCAGGCCATGTGTCTGTCATCCTGTATCTCCCTCTCTGCTGATGTTCTTCACTGATTGCAATCTAGTTAAATCTTGGAAAAACTTCATATTCTACTCCCATCTTCCCTACAATCAGTGCAGTTACTCTCTTGTTGACTGAAATAACGTGTTTAATGCTGAGAACACAAGTGGATGATCATCATAGTATATCTCGAAGTTTGTGCTGTGTGTGAACATACAAAGTTCAAGGTAGTTCAATGGGCTTTCAAGTTTTTCACTTTTTGTTGTGATTTCTGCTCCTGATGGTTACTGTGTGGACCAACCTAGTTTTTTTCCTGTAGTCTCCTGATTGAGCCACAGCCTTTATGAAATCTTATCTTACAGGAAAGGCCAAGAGTTTCATTATGCCTCATGTTAGTGTTTACTTACTGAATGAGGAGTTAGCAATCAGAATTATCTGCTTGAGAGTGATTTTTTTAGTATCTGTAGGAAAGTGAAGCTGTAGTTTGATCACTTTATGACTTCTGGTAGTATATCAAAGATGACGTGGTTATCTGAAAGATGGTGTAAGTGTTGTAAAATGTTGACATGGTAAAGGGTCACTTTGCTACTTCAGAAAGTTTGTTACAATAGTGTTGCTCTGCTAGGCTTTATGCTCAATCAGGCAGTCTGTCCTCATCGTTCTGCATTTATGCTGGATAGGCTTTACACTGATTGTTTTCCCACACCAGGCATAATGTGCATAAAGGCAACATAAACTCCTTATCATGGTTAATTCAACAGAAATACAATTGGTTGGCCGTGCCTGGTTTGGATCAGTTCTATACCGCTTCACAATTTGTACAGAAATGTAATATTAATGAATGGACTGAATGGACTTAAGCAACTCCTGTTCTCGGTAATGAAGATAATTTAATTTCAAGTTTCTTGCACAGAGGAACAGAACATACTACTTCAGAATTTTTGCCTTTACTTTTGTTTGGCAGTCTGAAAGCCTTAACCGGCCACTTTCTAGTGGTTGCGGTACCCAAAGATATGTTTAGTTATATCTTTGATTGCCCTAGGCATCGATTTCTGGCAAGATCGCTTTTCTCCAGCCAGTGTACTTACCTCCTGTTTATTTGGAAATATTAATAATTTGTTAGAAATCCCTATCCCAGAAAGATGCAATGATAAAAGATAATCATAACAAATTACATGAGCTTGTAACTGTACAGTACAAAATAGAGAATATAAAGTTCATCCTGATTGTAACTCTGGTTTTCATTTCTCTGCTTGCTTTGTGTATGTGTGTCGGGTTGGATTAAAAGTCTGTGGAGTGGCTATGTGTGACCAAGAACAGAAAGCTGATTTTATGTGGTTTTTATCTTTGAATTGAAACTGCCTAGACAACAAGCTGGCTTGAGCTGAGAAAAATGAGTGTATTGGGAGAAAAAAATATAAACAGTGTCTATCAAAACAGTTGTGGAGATGCATTCCTGATAGCCTACACAGTTTGGTTTTTGCTTATGTGTCTATATTGTTTGAACTTTAAGCACGCAGCCATGTGACTTCTAGAATTTAAGGCCAGTCTGTTGCCCTGTAAATTCAGTCTTGCTATTGCTAGGAACAGGCCTCAGGTTTCATACTAACTGTGCAAGTCTCAGGACTTGTCAGGTTTTGTCTAAACTTGTCTTTGCCTACATGTAGCTTTGTTTTGATTTGCTTAGCTGCAAACTCAAACCCAGCTTGACCAGGTGGTTACTGCTTAGTTTCACTTTGGCTTGTCCTTGTGTGATTGTGTGGTGTAACTATATTTCTTTCTACAGATAGTAGTAGCAAGTAGTTATTCTGTGTATAATGATGTATTTGTGACCTTCAAAGAGCAGTGTAGTGCAGAGGAGCGTCGCCGTGGTGTGATAGCAGAGACCTCGCGAGTGGGGACACGGGATGCAGGGTCGGGGAGCAGGAGCAGAGGTTCACAAGGGGGCGCTCGGGATGCCGCTGGGGACCCCAATGATGTAAAGAGGTCACCCGTGATTGGGAAAGAAGCGCAGGCTGTGAGCTGCGCAAAAGCAAAACAGCTGAAAGCGCAAGTCTCAAACAGATGCAATACACGCTATGTACAGTGGATGTGGATGTAAAATGGAGTTGCGGACCAATGAACCAAGAGCAAGGTGTAAGAGCATGTTGGAAAAATACCTCAGGTAGGTGTCTTCAGAGTGGGGAGGAAGAAGCCATCGATATAGTACTCCTTCTGAGACCACCTGCTCCACCCTTGCCACCACTGCAAACCTCATGCTTCTCCCCAGACAGGACATGGGACGCTGAGGGAGGGCTCACTGTAACACCCTCCCACAGCTGAAGCCCACAGTCTTAGACCTCCAAAGGGTGGTGTAAAGGAAAGCCTGACAGCAGGAAAAGGCCTAGGTACTAGGAAGAGTGTAACTACTTTAAATGTATTATTATGATGACTTTCTGTAGTAGTATTATTTTCCTCATTTTCTTTCTTTCTCTGCCCATCAAAGCGGTGCCTCACCCATCAAAACCCCTGCAATGGCTGAGAAAGGATGAGGAGTACTACATTGGTGGTATACGTTTGCTTTCTAAATAACTTCTTTGATGTATACCTTTTAAAACATTGTTTCAGAAAAACTGTGCAAAACCAATCTGTATGTTTTATGTGTTGTTATATGTTAATGAAACACTGTATTAGCTATGCATACCTGAAGAAATCAGATCTAAAATAGGACAGCATGTCCATGGATTTGGATGGGCTGGGTGAAAGTAGCCAGAAAGGACCGGTGAGTTAACGCTAGGTTGAATAGGTCTTTCAACCACCAGCAATCTGTAGTGCTGTCCCTCAGGATATGACATTAGTAGCTCAGAGCCAGAGACTGTTTACCTGCCCAGCCTTAGAAACGGGAATTTAGATGGTTCATTCTGTTGGTTTCAAATAATAATAATTGGGTTGGTATTGAAGCAGAGTTCTACTAGTTTGTGATTTTACTAAACAGACTTAATTTTTATTTAAACTGGAACAGTCCACGATTGTGTTCAGGTCTGCCTCATCTGCAAGAGTATCTTTTCATAATCTGGTACTTCCTGTCTGTTTCCACAGAATTCCTGCAAAACTGTTGCTATGTTTAAGAAAATAAACATGGCAATTCCGTGGGGATTTTTTTAACCCCCAGAAGTAGTCAGCAGTTTTAATAGAGGTTTCGTGCTAAAGCTGTTTGTGTACATCTAGACAGAGAAGGCTTTCTGTGGGCTGTCATAAAACTCGTGGAAGCACTGCTGGTCTAATCCTTCCTACTGCTTCTCCCTTTCTTTTTCCCTTAAAAGAATGGCTTCTGAGCCAATGAATGTTTAAAATGACAATGAAAGTTAGTGGGAGGCTGAAAATTATTTCTTTGTCTTCTTGTGAACAGGAAGAGTCAATTACTTCTCCAAAGGTTATGAAGAGGTATTGCAGATGTTTTCTTAAGCTTGCATATCAGAGATACGTTTGCTTTCTTCCCAGTCCTTCTAGTGCCCCAGAGAGTGGAGACAGTGTGAATAGAGAGGAAGAGGTCATCCTAATTGCCTCTTAGTCAGGAGAGCCACCATTTTCTCACCTGTGAGCTTTTCCTAAGAGAACCAGTTATTTTGACAAGAGGGTAAAATTCTGTGAAATTGTCTAATCTGCTTTTAGGTCCAGGGCATTTTGAATCTAGAGATCTGGAGGCTAATAGCTTGCTTTTTATTGTGTTCTGACAGAATACAGAAGGAGAGAGTAAATAGCTAGGGAAAGGTGACTACTTAAGCTAGCACTACAACTGAAAAGTTGTTTGTGAAATTACTCTGCAAGAAATTAAGTGGACTCTTCACTCAAGTAGGCTCTTTGGATCATACATCATCTTACCTAGGACTGACTGCTGCAAGTCCAGTAATATCAGTTAAGGCTGAGGGACAGTGACTACTAGGATGTAATACAGTTATGTTACAATTGGTAGTAGAACGGATACTATTCTGCACAGTAAAAAGTGAGGAGATGCTTCTTTTTTTTTCAGGATCTTTCTTGAAAAAGGCACATGGGTCCAGCAGTGAGTGAGGGAAACAAATGCATTTGTTTAATGAACTGTTTAATGAACTAGGGACAATTCCTCTTCTCATGGAGTGATACAGGTCTACAGCGAGAAAAATACTTATGCTTATATGAGAATATAATATACTGAAAATGTATATTTTCTAAAAATAATTTTGTGTGGGTAACTAACTTTTGTGTTTGCAAACTGCTGAGTGCTTTATTTTACAACGAAGGAATCTTTGCATGCACTCTAAATATAATCTAAAGAGAAACATAAAACCTTAACACTTGGAGAGATTTTGACAAATGCATCTGAAGTAAACTAGATTTTTATCATTAAGGATTTCAGAGCTGTTGAAAGCAATGTATAAATAAGTATTTTTCCAGCCATATGAATGCAGGTGTTTGTTGGGGTTTTTTTTTGAAACTAGAGAAATAGATTTTAAACTATTCAATTCTATAGTTACTGTGGTCTGTTCTTCAGTGCTAGAATTCTGTCGCTTCTGAAGGGGGAATTGGATTTACTTCTGCTTAACAGTTTGGTTTAACAGAGAGTTAAATTTAAAACAAAAAAATTACAGAACAGGAAGTTCGGATATTGATCATTAAAATAAAGTAAAATTTGAAGCAAAGTATATGTGAACAAGGTGAGTAGATGTTACTTTTTAATATAGGTCAGTCTTTGTCAATATACGTATAGTGCATGGAGTATGTGAGATCGTACAAAGCAACATAGACTGTAATGATTTCTGTTCAGCTACCACTGCTAACTAGATCAGTGAATCTTGGAAGTATCTGACATACATATGAGATGTTTTTACATCAAACATAGTAGAAAAGACCGGACATTAGGAAGCATTTATTTACTGTGAGTATGGTCAAACACTGCAACAGTCTTCCTAGACAGGTGGTTGATGCCACAAGCCTGTCAGTATTTAAGAGGCATTTGGACAATGCCCTTAATAACATGGTTTAGCTTTTGGTCAGGCAGTTGCACTAGGTGATCGCTGTAGGTCCCTTCCAACTGAAATATTCTGTTCTATTCTAAAACAATTTTTGAAGCAAAGCATTGAGCAGAAACTGTTATTTTGACAAATCTTTATGGAGTTCATGAAACTGTGTGAACAAAGTCATTCTGCAAGGCATAGCTAAATATGTTTTATCTTTTCTTATTTACTGATTACTTTTTTTTTTTTCCCTTGGGGAAATTGCTTTCATTATACAGAAAAATAAATCTTTATCCCAGCATTTCTAATCTGTCTTACGCTTTCCAGTTTAGACTAAGTAGGTGTTATTGCCATGGCTCCTGTTTGTGTTTTTTCCCTTAGTCATCTATGCTATTCCAACCATTTTGGAAGGTCCACTCCAGAATGGGCAGGTGCAGAATGAATTCCTTCAGGATCTGTGCTGGTAGAATAATGCTTTCTGCACAGGTGTTCCTAGACTTCTTTGCTGTAGGTATTTGATGTGTGTGTTTCTCCAGGTAAAAGCATGTCTCCTCTTTATCTCCCTTCCTCATAATTGATAGCAATTCCTTCTCTTTTCTTTTTGCATTCTTTGTCTGAAAGGCTTAACGGGCATAGAGAAAATATACTCGCCATGTTCAGTCAAAATAGAAGTCTTGTTTCTCTTGATACTTTGATTAGGAGGAAGAAACAGAAGTTTCAGATATTTCTGGTTTCTGAGTTTGTGATCTTTCCTACGACTGTTTCCTGAGACAAAACAGTGTACTACCAAAGAGAATGCTTTTCTCAGGAAAAAGGGAAAAAGATACACCCTGTATTGCTCAGCCTGTGCAGAAAGTGCCATTGACTATTAAGGGGATGAAGACTACATAAAATTCCAGAAATACATCCAGTCTTCTTTCTCCTTTTCCTTTTAGCATTTTTTTTGGTTGTAGATTGTCCTATGCTTATGTGCCATGCAGTTTTCATATATTTAAAGGAGCACTTAATTGTTTTCCTTCTAAAATGAAAATGCACAAATGAAATTGAGCGACCTCATGAGCTGTTAGGTGACTTACTGGACAAATCAGACCTCTTTTTTTTTTTTTTCCTGTTGACACGGGTCTTTAAGTTTCTTCCAAATCTGGCTCTATTGCTTGAGCAGCTTGTTAATTTCTTATGTTACTGTTTTGGTTGGTTATTAATGATTTGGAAGATCAGACATGTCTGCAAACTTTGCTGAAAACATTGTTTATTTATGGTAAAAATGTGTGAAGGGTCAAATTGAGGATATTACAAGCTGTATTAGTTCAAAACTGTGAATTAATGACACTGACCTGAATTACAATGTTAAACTTTGGTATCTCAGCCCTTAAAGTCCTTTCAGGGATACTGTCTATGTAGAAATATTCTTAATTCAAGAAGTCCCTGAGCAGCTAATGTTTGGTGACCAGGAATGTTCTTAGGAGGTATTACAGGTTCTTACCTTGGTCTTACGCTGTGCCCATGGTGGCTACTTTTTGCAACTGCTGGAATAAAGAGTATCAGGACAGACTAAGCTTTACAGTACCTGGTATGGCCAGTCTTTCTGTTCTTAGTGTATATGGGAAAATAGAGGAACAAAACTTAAAAGGAACAAAATAAGAGTAGGAGATATTTTAAAAAGTGAAAGTACCTGGGCTCAGTGTAAGAGTCGTTGAAATGGTTTAATCTTAATCTGCAGCCACAAACACTAACATACCAATTATAAGGTCATTGTATAGTATTTATGCAGAGGAATTAAAATTGCTTGGAATCCTAATGGTGAGCATGGGAGGCCTATCACAAAGCCTAATCTACTGTTTCTTTAGTATAACCCTAATTCTGGGTTTTTATAGCAATTCATTTGGGGATAATAAAACCAATTCTAGTTACCATGAATAAATGGCATATCTAGGTTTGTATAATTAAAGAGGAACAGGAGGCAATTTTCATTTTGGATTGGCAATTCTAATATTGCAGAACTTACTGTACTGTCTCTTAAAGCAGTTTGTAGTGGTCATTGTCAAATACAGAGTTGAAATCGCTGATTTTCCTGGGTTTATTAATAATTCAATTTATATTTGCACATTTTTGGTTAAAGATGGAATACAGTCTCTCTGAGTATAATTAAATATATATATAAAAATCCCACTTCTGAATGGATTAGAGAAGTTCTGAAAAAGTAGCATGTGCAGACTTCAGGTTCATTCACAAATACTAATTTTAATCCTAGTGCCTACTTTGGCTAAAGTAAATAAAACATGCGCCCAATGTTCTTTTAAAGATATCTTGTGTTCATATTGCTTGTTATGAAATGTGGACTTGGCAGTACCTAAATTTGGCATACAGTCTCTTTTCCTTGTTGAAGTCTGAGTGGACTGCTTAGAACCCCTGTATTGAACAACATATTAATACACTTTTCAGACTGTTCAGTAGCACAAAAGTAATATGCTTTAGATCTGAATGAGAGTAATAAATGGTGACCTTTGAAGAGACTGTACTAATTATTAAAAATAATAAGCTGTAAGGGATGTAAACTGGTTATTTAATCCTTCCTCTTGCTCCGGGGTAGGATCGAAGAACTTATTAGGACTTGTAGCTACCTAACATGTTCATAAAGACCTTTAGTGATGGAGATTTCACATCATGTCTGGCTACCTTTAACAACAAAAGATGGTAAAACAATGCAGTAAATTTCAACTTCTGTGCCAGTAGTGCAGAAGATTCAGTTTAGGCTTAAACCCATTCCTACTTGCTCTGTCTACATGGAGGTGGGCTTCAATTTGCAGCAATTTTCCTCGTAGATACATAATATGACTTCTGATTATTTCTGCTTCTGCTGGAGTCTGGTGGCTCCATGTCTGTCTTAGATTGCGAGACATTGGAGTGCCCAAAACATTATTGCTTGAATTGAGTGTTTACTAGTATTATGAAGACCAGACAATTACTTTAAAGTGGCATTTTTGTTTATATATTCCACTATGCCGTTTTCCGAAAGGCACAAGATTCCTGACTTGCATTCAATTTCTTGTCTTCTGTGGTATCTAGAATGATTTTTGACATAACTGCTCTATATCCAGCCATATGCAGCTATGCTGCATTTTTCCTCTTGATTAAGTTTAATACCTAACTTAAACTACCTGCCTAAGCCTATTAGCTCTTTCTTGTCCCTGTTCAATGGCATCCTGTTTTCAGACAATTTTTCTAGCTTGTCGAGATAATTAAATTTTTTGGAATTTTGTTTTAAATTTTTATTTTTGAATGATGAAATGTTGGTAAACATTCTAAGAATGGTTTTCTGGTCAGTATTGATTAACAATTCTCCTGACTGTTAATTTGAGTCTCCTCACTTGTGTATGGTTCTCAGATGGCTGAAGTGTGGTTACAATATTGGGACTACATTGCATAACAAAGAAACTAGTTCTTACTACTTATTCCTACTATTTTGTAGATATTCCTAATTTTGGTGTATGTCCTGTGTATGCTTTACTCCTCTTTACCTTACTCATCCGTGACAGATTCTTACAGATATTTCCTGATGGCTCTGAGATCTCATAGCCATTCTATTAAGTAAAGTCTAAAGTTTTTGGGTTCAACTGGCAAGATAATCTCTGGTAAATGTTTGTGATTTAAAGGTATTTCTGTTCCTGATGTCCGTTATATATATTTAATGTGCTTGTCATGTGTTGCTTTTCACTTCATGGTATTGCAGTATATGAGCTACAGTTTGCTCAAATCCAAAATGTATACTAAAATGAAATGTAAGATGACTCAAGTGTTTGTGCTGGCTGACTTTGAGTAAATCTTACATATTAAGAGGGCAGAAAACTAAGCTGACTCTCGATCAAAATTGTTAAAAACATATATGCATTGGTATCTGATTTGTATCTTTCACTATTTTTTGTAAATAAGATTTTTGTCTTTTTTTTTTTTTTAAAAACAGAAATCTTTTGGACAGAGATACGTTCTCTAAATCTGATCCGAGTAAGTATATAGCATTTTATTGTTTCTTCTCATAATATATTCCAAATGCGTAAACACTGGATTAAAAATTAGGTGGGTGGTTTTCTTCAGTGTCAGTTAGGTTTACATTGGTTTTGTGACAATTATTTAAAGTAATTAAGTTTACAGTTAAATAAGTTACACTTATAGTTTCTGTTATATGAACTGGGATTTTAAAGAATCTGTATTCAATATTGCTTTCCTTAGCTACACAGTCCCTTATTTAGCAGTCAACCTACATTTTCCTAGAATTAATAAATGCAGAGAAGTATTTCTTTCTTTTTTTTTTTTTTGTTAGTATCTGTTGTTCTAGAGGTCTTTCAAAGCTAGTAAGCAAACTTCTAAATAAACCAGGAGTACTTGCTGCTAGTGCATAGTGTCCACTAATCGTAGAGTCAAATGCTGAAAAATAAAATGAAGTTAATTCATCTCTGGGAAAAATTACATTTCCTGATCAAAAATAGTATGATGGTTTATGAATGAATGTTTTCAGATATGTAAGATAGTGACACCCACTTTCCCCATAAGTTTTATTAATGTATGACTGGATCCCCCAAAACTCTCATGCCTCTGAATTTATATATGAAGGGACTTTCGATTTAAAATCCCTGACTACCTTCGTCTATCACCCATGTTATAAAACTTTTATCAAGGAACTGAGACCACAAAAAATTTCCTTTTTTTTTTTTTTTTCTGATAGCATTTAATCGAAGTACTTCTGTAGTGTTAGTTGACTAGTCTTTAGGTTATGGTGTCTTGGGTCATGTTGTCTGCCCTACAACTCTCCATATTTTTTTTTTATCTGTAAATTCATTTTCTTTTTTTAAGCCTGGATTTTTCTTCTGTAGAATACCATGTATTGTGCTTACTGACATTGGAAAGAACTTGAGACACATATACTTCTGTCAAGTGACTGGACATGTAAGCATGTCCTGATGGGATATACTTGAATAGTGAGTCATGTGACAGTATGCAACATTTGAGTACTTTTGTGAGAATATGTTTGTCCATTCTTAACTAAAAGTTTCTTGAGAGAAATTCCACAATGGACTTTTGATGGGAAAAGCTTCTACTTCCTGGAGAAAAGCTGCATGAAGTTAGGAATACCTTTGACATTCCTAACCTATAAAACTTTTTTTTTTTTTAAAAAAGAAGACATAGGCAATACCATGCCTCTGGTGTAGGGAGGTCATGCAGACGCAAAAAGGAGTGGTTTGCACATTACTAACTGTTTTTTAGTTGGCTAATAGAAACTCAGTTGTCTGGATTAAGCAATTTTGGAGAGTGGTCAGTGACCTATTGCCCCTGATAGATTGAATTCAGAGATCTCTCTGTTGAATCAAGGTGCCTTTCAACAAAAGTGATGAGGTGTCTAGTTTCTAAGCTCAAATATTATTAGAGACAAGTGTTTCAAGTTTCTATCAGATAGGGGACGGTATTAGGCATAAATTGCAGGGTTTGAGTAGCAGGGGACTGCAGTGTGACCTGTGTGGGAGGAGGCTGTGAATCACCCTGTGGCTCTCACAGCTGGTTCCAATCGACTCTGAAAGCCATGTGGGTAACCATTGCCTGCCAGAAGTTCTGCCAGCCAGGGCAACACACAGTACCCCTGCCCAAACATGAAAAAAAGCAGCAGCAGCAGCTAAGAGCCAGAGAGACAGCTGCTGAAGATACTGCTGGAGCCACGCTTCTGAAGATATGCTGCTGGAATGCGTCCTTGAAAGGAGATGCTCCGCGCAAAAGGCAGTACATCTCTGAAGGCTCTGTGTCCTGTGGGCAACCCAAGTGATCGTGGCTGGTGGGTGACCCATGCTGGGCAAGGGACACAAGGAAACAGAGTAGCAGGAAAACCTAAAGAAACCTTAATATCTGTCTTTAAAATATTTCTGAGAAGTAAATTGGTGGTATTTTTTATGGATTCACAGTATATGAAAATATTTTTTTAAAGTGTCATAACCTTGCATATCAATTAAAAATGTACTGCTTTCTTGTTTCTCGTAAATAGCTTATTTAAAGCACTCAAATTGGTGGTGAGCTTTAGGGATCTGGTCTCAAGCTGAGAGTACCCAGTTACGCTGCCAATTGGGCCTATCACAGGTTAGCAGTATAAAAACATGGAATACAGTAATACTGTACTTGATAAAGAGAGAAGGGGGAAACTGTTGGCTCTGGAAGTGCTCATACTGTATTTGCACTCGAGAAATGACTTGGCAAAGCAGCTTTCATTGTGGGTACTCTCCAAATAGTGTACACTTAGTTTTAATATTCTGCAGGTTTTTTTATTAGCCAGTTCAGTTTGTTTGCTCCTAGTGTCCTTTAGTTATGCACAGAGATACAGTCTTACTGTAAAAGTAAAAGGGGTTAGGGTGTAGTATAAAAAGTGCTATTCTTTTCTGTAGTTGGAAGTACATCGGATAACTTTATCTGTTTGCTTGGAGAAAGACCGTTCTTAGGGTGGTCTGTATACAGTAACTTCATCCTGTTAGCTAAAAACAGTGTCAAAACCGGCACCATGCCACTTTCACAAGATCCACTTTTAGACCCACACAATTTACAACTATTAGATCTCATACAAGACAGAGCCATATAGAGTCACTCTGCATGTTGAGGTCTCATTGGATTTGACTAGGCCAATTCTAATATACTTTTCAAACTCCAGTGCAGTTATTTAGAGATCATACTAATAGTGAAAATCTGATTTTATCCTCTTAGCCTTTTTCTCAGAGAGGGACACACATGAGTATAGTTGACTCCTGTGTCAACATAAACAACCTTCTCATGAAATTAAAAAGAAACTTGTGATTACTCTGGTTCTCTTAGAAGGTTTGCTTGGCCTTTTTTTGATACTGTAATTGCTACTCAGTATTTATTCCAATTCTGACCACTTCCCTGCAATCTAGAATATTCATGCCAAGAGGAAGCTGGCATGTAGAGATACTAGATATAAATGGGATGGACTTGGATAGTCCTTGTTCATGAAGTATTTTAAACAATACTGAAGTCTCTTGCTGACAGTGCTTTTTCCTCAGTGGAGTCAAAGCAAGTCATATATATTGATTTACTGTTGCAATTGGACCATTCTGTTCTTCCAGTTTGGAGACCGTTTTTTCTAGGAATGTTTTGGAGAAAACTTTTTTTTTTTAATTTTCTTGGAGACAATGAGCTAAAACAGTGCTTCCCTGATGAGGTAGGGATCAGACCTGCAAAGGAGATACAGATCAATGAATTTGGCATATTTCTCTGTCCAGTGACAGTTACGTGGAATCATTTTCTTCCTGTGCACTGGCTAGCAAAACTAAGCCACTATGCAGCTGTGGTGGTAGCACCGTGGTCAGGATGGAATGTCTTCTTGTGGAGTCTTGTGACTCCTGACTATGATAGTAGGAAGAGTCTGATATGAAAGACTGGAGTGGTAAAAACTCTTCCCTTGGAGGATTTCCCTATGGAAGATAGTAACAATGAGAGGAATGTCATGACGACTGGGGCAAAGGGACCTTCAGGAAACTCTGCCTAGAAGGTATAGAAGCTGGTCAGTGAAGAGTAATGGGGAGCCCCTGTTAGAACTGGGTGCAAGATCGTGGAAAGATTTAGCTAGCATGGGGAAAAGGCCAACTTTATTGTGGCTAAGACTTCCTTGAAAGGGAATAGATGTGTTGTTATGTTTGGGAAAACTGAGGTGGGCAGTTTGGATGTACCAGTAGTTGCCAGGCTAAAGGATAAGCATATATGCATTGAATGAGAAAGGATCAGAGTAGGGTAAGGGAGGACCAAACTGTCTGGGAAAACAAGAAGGCGCAAAGTATAATATTTTGGGAACTGAATCTACAACTGAGTGATAACTGTTGACACTTCCACTGTCCTCTTCACTGCAAGATTTCATTAAATTTACCTTTAATTTGACACTGTGGTATCAGTGTCCAGAGTTAAAAATTACTAAATGTTAATATTTCTGACTATAGATATGGATTATCTTCCCTTGAAAGAGCTCATATGCCAAAGCCTTCCAAAAGGGTTTCTCTGCCAACTGCCTTGTTGAGGGTATGTTACTCTTCATCAATGCACTGCTCTGAACTTTGTCATTGCTCCCTCAGTTTTCCAGATTACAAGAGAAGAACTGGTTGTTCAGCTCCATCTTAGAATGTGGGTGCATGATATATTGGCTTTTGAAACTTAAGAATTTCCTGTTTATCTGACTTTATTCCTTCCCCTCTGGCATAACAATACTATTAACTGTTTTCTGCTAAAAAAAAAATAAAATTGGTTGCTTCATGAAGCCTTAGATCTCTGGTTTGAACAGGTCAAGTGCTTTAGATCAACTTTGATGTATTTATCTGCATTTCTCCAGTTGGATATGATTTTGAAGAAGTTTTTGAGGGATTATTGTAATTAGTGTGATATCAGGGTCTTTATAAAACCATCTCTCTGAGAGCCTTTAAGAATAGTGAAACTTACTACTGATGGAGACAAGCATTATGGATGGTTTCCTGAAAATTTCTGGGGTGAGTTTTAGAGGAAAGATAGAAGAAGTTTTTAAATTATTCTAAATTTGCAAAGTATTTGTCAGAAAGTCTGGAATGTATGCCTTTTCTATAACTTTCGTTAGGACTGACATTTTTTAAATGTCAGTTTGAGATGCACATGTATGTATCACTGTCAAACTTGCACCTTTTACTTATAATCATCTAATGTAATATTTATTTTATTATTAGTCTATATTTTCATTATATTTAAAGTACCTGCCACATCTGCAGCCTAGATGAATATCAGAAATTTGCTAGTTACACTACAAATTCTTAGCTCTTTTCTCCTCATTTAAGGTTTTATATAAATTATTCGTAAACTAGAGAGGTGGTCCCACTCCTGGGATATACCTTTAGAAGCACCGGGGAACCACTAGTAGTGGAGGGGAATAGAATTCTACTAATGCCTCAGCAATGAAAAGGTGAGAATGATAGCGTTGCTTGCTGTAAGTCCTCCAAAGATAGAACATAAATGATAATAAACTGACTGCAAAGAAACTGGATTTGGAAACTAGGTTTCTAACAGACAGGTAGGTGTGAGCAGCCCTCTGAAAACCAGGAATAGAGTAAGAGACTGAATTAGTTTTAAGGTGGAGCTTTATACCTGTTTTTTAACCCTTTTATATTGTGTAACTCCCATCTCATCAGCCATGGAAGGAGACTGAAATTACCCTAGGGTAATCTTTTTTAGTCTTTTTGTTCATAGATTTTTTTTTTTTTTTTAATTTGACTTCATAAACTAGGGAGATAAGGTAGTGCCAGAAATGTTTCTTTTCTGAAAATTTGATGGTAGTGGATATTTTATAGTTGTATTGTTGCTTTCTTCTCCTCAATATTAAATCTCTCATTTTTTAATACTCTTTTTGTTCCACAGCTGCAATGCACGTTTCTTTCTTGATTTACTGTATTAACACTAATACACAGGGCAGAATGTAGTACAAAAAGTAAAGCAGCAAATCGATAGTGAAAAATGGTTATGTTTAAGAAAAATCTGGACAATACAAATATCTGAATAGCAAACGTGCACATTATCAGTAAAGAATGGCTTTTCCTCTAAATGGATTTCAGTTCTATTTTCAACTGGATTATAGGTATGAGAAATTTCTAATTGAAAACTTAGATGTAAACTCTTGGCAAAATAGACAAAATCCACAATTATATCTGCTTTTGAAATTAGTAAGGCATTTGCTTTCTTGGAAACAACTACTGAAAATTGGAAAATATTAATTATTGAAGAACTGGTAACATTAATTTTAAAAAGAGTTTTCAATGGGAAGATGAAAGGACTGTTTGTGAAAGCCTGCCTGATTCTATGTTAGCAGTAGGGGTATTTCCAGAGAATTTTTTTTTTTTTGCTTGTTTTTATCTATGGAAACTTAGTTTGGCAACATTTCCTTCTTCTCCCAGGGTTACCTTGGGACAGACCTTACTAGATGCAAAGGTTAGTCAGAAGTTCAGTAATCTTCAGATACTTCTGCAGCTGATTTCATAGTTTCCATTTCACTCTGTTATCTCACATTTTCCCATTTAACTTTGTTCTTCATACAATATAGTTCAGCAATCTATTCCAGCGTGTGCTCTAAAAATAGGCGTGTTGGTTTGGATTCATCCTACTATAAGCAGGCACCAAAGCTAGGAGTGTGATTGCCCAAGGTTTCATTTAGAGTAAGTGGAGAAAGACAGACCTCTGCAGAGAATGATTTTGAATTTTTTTGTAAAAGCTTTTTTTTCTTCTACAAGACATCTTATTTGAAAAAAAAGTTGAATTGTGTTAACTTTTAACTTCTATGTGAGCTAAAATACTGAACTTACTTTTTTCTGTTCTTCCTTTTATCTGCTACTGCCTAATGGGAATCTTTTTTTTTTTTTTTTTTGGTGTGGAGCAAATACTTTTCAAGTAAGAAGAAAATGTAGTTTGAAGCTTGACTTCATTTCTGCTTTGCTCTATTGATGATTCTGGCTTCACTGAGAACAAAACCAGGCTTCCACCTTTATTGTTCAAGGCTGCAACCCAAAACAGTATGACTTTTAACCTTCTGCTGAAAAATAATGATGAGCACAGGAGAAGAATTTGTCAGAAAATGCAGATATTTGTTCAAATATCTATATTTCCATTGTTTAGAAAAGGGTTGTATTGGAGTTTCAGGTAAAAATTGCTTTATGGTCGTTACCTGCGACTAGTTCCAGACTGTAGAAAATAAAGTTTATAGTACTCCTTCAGTTTAAATTATTTGTACTTATAGTAACGTTTAAAAGACCTCGTTGTAATCGCTGTACCTCTGTCACCAGTCCCTGTGGTGGAAGCTGCAGATTAATGGGTAGCAGGCTCTGTACTGGAAAAACAGATCTGTAAGGAGAGTGATGCCTGTGGGATTGTGCTGCTTGGTCTTTCCGAAACAGCTTAGATTGACAAACTTCATTGATTCAATTTTTTATTAGGTTCTGTTTTTTAAAAATAAAGGATGCATATGCAAGATACTTAAATATATATAAATAATTTGAAGCAGAATTAAGGAAGAAAACCTGAGAAGTTACTTTTTTCCTTTTTCCACTTTTATCTCCCCTGTCTCTTTTTCCATTAGGGTCCTTGCTTGTTTTTATTTTCATTCTCTCATCTCTTGAAGGAAGCATAGTTTAGGGTAGTTATGCATTCGATTAACTAGGATAGCCAGACCATCCACATTTAATGAAGACCTGCTTTTACCCAGTTTTTCTGCTAAGGATTGTCAAGTGATTTGCTGGAGGTCAAGCATGAGTGTTACCTCCCAATTTAGAACCACCCTATTTATTAGCTCATTGCTGCAACAACTAGACCATAATGTCACCAGTCTGGTTAGACATACTGAAAACTGAGGGAAAACCTATTGCTATTTGATTGTCCCACTTACTAATTTCAGCAGAACAACAGACTACAAAATTGGTTCGCTTCATTTAAGAGTATGTTAGAATCTGAAAATGATCAAACATCTTTTTTTTCTTTTCACAGTCTGTGTTTTGTACACACAAGCCATTGGAAACAAAGAATGGAGAGAGGTAAGATACATATTCGTGGATGTATAAACTTTTTGAGTATAATTAAGGCTGGTCATTTGCCCTAGCAGAACCTCTTGAGTGCCATGCCAAACAACGGGAGTCCTATATACCAGTAAAAACTTAAAACCTAGTGACATTAATCTCGATTTCCATATCTGTATTGCATATTTCCGTCAAAAGGGAAAACAGAATTAGGGAAAATGCATAAGTTTCCTGTTTTTACAGTCTCCCTGAGATAAATGAAATCAAACTTAGTTACCAATCTGGACAAGGTTTGTGGATATCAAGAGAGGAAGATACTCAGTGCAAGATCTGTGGAAGGGTTCAACTGCAGTGATGGTCAGTGTCAGCAAAACTAGCCTGTAGTTGTGGTAGAGACCTACTTTTCCCATGTAGTGTTTGGGAGAAGTTACGTGCTGCTGAGTAGAGTATACGTCAGGCAACGAGGGAGGGAGGGTATTATGCATAGGTTGGACTATGTTTTGTTAATCTATCAGTGTAAGCACTGGAGAGAGATGTCCTAAGAAACTAAATCAAGTACCTCTAAATTGGACATCTACAGCAGATCAACATTTATAGCCTGGAACTGTCTCCCTGTACTTGGTAATCTAATTTTTCTCCTTTAATGTTATTCTTTGAAAGAGTTGACAGTGTTGGGGGAAGGGTGGTCATCTTTTTACTGATTAAATGCGCTACTTAGCTGCCTTACAGAGAGGATTGATGGAACTGTTCTTCACTGTAGGTGGTCTGCTGTGTGGCCATGCATTTGAAGAATAGAGCCAAGAGACGAATGAACTATCTTACTATTTTTCCCTGTAAAAGAGAGGAGGTCTGATGTTCTTGTTTTCAGAACTGATATTTTATGTGATTACTGCTGTGTAAGAATTCCAGTGGAGAGGCCGGGGGCACAGAAACCAGACCTCTTCCCTTATATTTGGTGTCCTTGTCAATTGGCTGGAGAAACCTGTTTTCTGCTTTACTGAAACATGGTGGAGGTGGGTTTCAGTCTTGTCGAGTTGAGAGAATTGAATTTGTCTCCTGCTTGGAGAAAAGCTTATATGACCGGGCAATACATGAAACGTACCTATTTCATTTGTAGTTTTTAGTTAAATTGCTGCTCTCTGTTGTTCTGAACTGTGTACTAGACATCCTCTCAGTATACCTGCTGGATCACATTCCTCATGATTAGTGTGAAGAAATGTCAGTTTGAGGCCCCTAAATCGGAATTCACTAATCTTAATTAAATTGTGTATGTCCAGTACTTCTGCCAGAGCTCTAAATGTCTGGATAGTTAGCTCTGAAAACCGAGGAGTCTTCAGGCACTCAGGTGACTAGGTGGCTTTGTGCAGTTTGGTAGTTAAGCCTAGGTCATCACTAAAGCATTCACGTCCTTTTCTGGTCTAGAGTTAAGAGGATTTTGTCAGAAATTCTGGCTTTTGTCGTCTAAGGTTCATATGTAATTTTGTGGAGTTTTCATACTTCTCTGGTGTAACTGTTAAGATAGTATTAACCATTTTTAATATCATAACTGTCCTGATGGTAAAATTACAACATTATCATCTTTCTTAGAAAATATTCCATGTGCTTGTTTTGAGGTGATTTAGGAGATTGTCAATGGAAAGATTCCATCTGCTCTTGATTTTAACAGATCCAAGTTTGTAACGGTTGAAGTGTGTAACCACCTTATAGCTCTGTATTGTCTTCTGCCTTTTTATCTCCCTGAAGAAAGCAAAAACACCTGAACAGGGCAAGTGTGCAACATTATTGTTTGTATTACATCTTCTCACTGATTAGAGAGTGTCTTGGCTAGGTGATGCACTTTGGCATGTGGTTGTGGTATCATAGGCCAGTTTAGGAATTACAGAGGCTAAAACAGACTTGTGGCAATTGCTAAAAAATCATTGTGGTTTTTTTTTTTTTTTTTCTTTTAAGACCTAATTATCTCTATCTTGTCTGTCAGGATAAGGTATAGGTATTTGCAACTTAAAAAAGACTGTTTAAACTATTTATAATTAATGTAAAAAGATAACATCCTGAGGGCAGTTCATCAGACCTAATTTAGATGTCTACACTAGATGAGATGAATCATTCTTTAGAAATGCCTCCAGGTGATAATCAAAAGCCTACACTTGTGACTATGTCAGATGTAAAGTTTGGTGTGTAGAATCCCATTCCTAGTAGCTGTTATGACAGTCAATATTCAGAGGTTGGCATGATAAAGGGGCTGAGGCAGGACTGCATTTAATATGTTATAGTGTATTATATTTATACCAGTGGTAAAAAATAAGGTGGTAGGTAGAAGACTAGTTGATATGTACGTTAGATGAGTAATCTCATATCTTTATCTTTGTGCTTTTTCTGCCTGCAATGGTGAATGCCCTAATACTGTGTTTTTCAATGAAACTCTGTATATATGTCCATTTTGTTACATTTAAACACTTATTGAATATTTTACTAGCTTGTAGAGGTGGAATTCACCTGGAACTGTTTGGAGAAGACAAAACTGAGACAATAAGCCTCTGATGATATGTGTAGACATTAAAGAATGATGTTCAGTCATGGGAACATACTTTACCTTGTTTCTGCTCCATATCCTTTTATGCATAGTTCTCTTCCTTCTTTTGCCTGATTGCTTTTTGAACACTGCAGAAAATGCTTGGGAGTCATAAACACAGTAAATCATTTCATAATCTCTATAATTTCCCTAGCACTCTATTCTAGCAGTGTGCTTTTTTTTCCCCTTCAGTTAAGCTATTCAGATGGGTTCAACACAATAGTTAAATCAAACCCTTCATTTAATGAAGGGTAGATGTTTTCTGGGCATTGACTCCTGTTTGACTGTGGTACAAATTCCAGTGTTTTTACCCAGTGTTATTCTTGCACACCAAATCTTCAGCAAAAAATTAAAATGTTTCATTCTGAATTTAATAAGGTGTTGTTTTTCAAAACAGTTTCTCTGTTTTTACTTACAGTGTGATCATCAGGTATTTCAATTAATATAATTGGTAACAAATGCATCGTTAGAATCTGAGCTTTGGTTTTAAAATATTTACTTCCCTTTACTTTGTGAGGACACATTTGAAATATGGCTAAGTATAACTCACTGTTATCTGCAGAAGCCTTAAATAATATATTGAAAGGATCTGAATTTTTTCATTTCAAAGAGAGTGTTAATTTGGAAAACAAGAGGGAGCACTTCAAAGGTGAATGTTAAATAAATAATAGACATTGTAAAATACTCAACCAACTGCAGTTTTACTGGCAATATCCACCAATGGGAAGTGTTAAGGAACTGCCTGTGGAGTGAGGCTCTGAGCCTCTGGTCCATCTACTGTAAGAATGCATTGGATACAAATTAAATTTGTATACCTGTCTGGAAGCTGGTTCTCTCACTGGTCCTCATCAGGCTGATTTCCAGCATCATGAGCTGCCAAATGTTATTTTATATCCTCAGTAAATTTACATTGTGTCCTCTAAAATTGTTCCTGGCTTCCCGATCTTCAAGCCTTCCTATTCATTAGTTTTGTTCATGTTTTTTTTAATCTGGAGTAAATATGCTGGAGACAAGAAAAAGCATCTTTTTTTGACTGAGTCGTCAAATTGAGGCAGAAGGCAGTTAGGAAAGGTTGTAGTGGAATCCCAAGATAGAAAATGTGACCAGTTTGCAAGGAAATCAAAAAATACTGTCACAAGCTGTACCTAGTCCCTATATGATACAGTTTATCAACAGAGAGACTTCTCCCTTTATGTGCTCATGGTGCTTAATACAGAAGGTAGGATGGCTGAATAATTTAGGTGTTACTTTTTTTCCTCATCTGCATATAGTGTTTCATTCATCCATATGGAATTTCATCTGACATTTTGTTGTCCGATCACTCAGTATGAATAATGTTGTTCTACCAAGTATTCATAGTTGCCTTTTATATATTTATCCTGTTTAATTCTGGAAAAATCTATTTGTTTGGTAACTCTGTATTTTCAGTCCCTGCTCCAGATTGTTTAGGCATATATGGTACTGCATGAGTCCATCCATGGACATCCAAATCCATAGGAACTTGTTGAGACATTGCAGGGAGTTTTCATCCAGCAAATTGGCTGCTTGTTCTTGTTTTCTTTCCTATCTACCAATAAATAAATAAATTATTGTAATAATAAAAATAATTAGTTACTAAATTATAATTAGTGATAATTAACTTATGACATTAATTGGTCTCCAAGAGGCAAATATCCTCCCCATCTTTCATAAGATATTAGATAATGGTGTTCCCCAGGGCTCAGTATTGGGGCCAGTTCTGTTTAATACCTTTATCAATGATCTGGACGAGAGGATTGAGTGCACCCTCAGTAAGTTTGCAGATGACACCAAGTTGGGCAGGAGCGTTGATCTGCTTGAGGGTAGGAAGGCTCTACAGAGGGATCTGGACAGACTGGGTCGATGGGCCAAGGCCAAGTGTATGAGGTTCAACAAGGCCAAGTGCCGGGTCCTACACTTCGGTCACAACAACCCCATGGAACACTACAGGC